AAGAAGAAGAAGAAGAAGAAGAAGAAGAAGAAGAAGAAGAAGAAGAAGACACACCAAGAGGAGTAGAAGGTGGAAATATTGAAGCTCAGGGCTGAAATCAAGAAGTTAGAAACAAATAATCAATCCGAAGAATCAATGTAACTAAGACTTGGTTCTTAGAGAAAATCAACAAGATAGGTAAACCCGTAGGCAAACTAACAAAAAGAAGAGAGAAACTATCCAAATCAGCAAAATCAGAAACAAAAAGGGTGACATAACAACAGACACTGAGGAAATCCAAAAAATCATTAGGACTTAATATAAAAGTCTAAATTTAAATTTCATTTTCCGAAAGGCAAAGAGGATGGACATCAGAAGAAAAAGAAAATAGGAAACAACCTCGGAACCTGCTACACAGGGCCTCTGAAAGCCAGAAGAAAACAGGAAACAACCTTGAAACCTGCCACAGAGGGCCTCTGAAAGCCTCTGCAGTATAGACTGTCAAAGCAGATGCTGAGCCTGATGGCCAACTGACAGGCAGAGTGAATGGAATTTTATGTAAGAAGTGGGAAATATTAAGAGCTGGAGGGGACGGGAACTCCACAAGCAGAGCAACAGAACAGGATAATTTGAACACAGGGAACTTTCCAGAGACTCATACTCCAACCAAGGACTTTTCGTGGAGATAACCTAGAACTCCTGCACAAATGTAGCCCACGGCAGTTCAGTGTCCAAGTGGGTTACATAGTAATGGGAAGAGGGACTGCCTCTGACATAATCTGATTGGCCTGCTCTTTGATCACCTCCCACTGAGGGAGGAGCAGCCTTACCAGGCCACGGTAGAGGACAATGCAGCCACGTTTGATGAGAACTGATAGACTAAGATCAGAAAGGAGAGGATAACCTTCTCTATCATCGGACTTGGGGAGTGGCATGCATGCAGAAAGGGGAGGGAGGGTGGGATCCGGGGGGGAGGAGGGAGGGGCTTATGGGGGGATACAAATGAATAAAGTTTAATTAATAAAAAAATTATAAAAAAATTAAAAAAAGAGCAGGCCAATCAGTTTATGTCAGAGGCAGTCCCTCTTCCCATTACTATGGAACCCACTTGGACACTGAACTGCCATGGGCTACATCTGTGCAGGGGTTCTAGGTTATCTCCATGCATGGTACTTGGTTAGAGTATGAGTCTCTGGAAAGACCCCTGTGTTCAAATTTTATGGTTTGGTGCACCCCTTGTGAGGTTTCGGTCATCTCCAGATCTTACTAATTCCCACTTCTTTTGTAAATTTCCATGCACTTTGTCCAACAGTTGGCCTTATGTCTCAGCATCTGCTTTGATAGTCTACAGAGCAGAGCATTTCAGAGGCCCTCTGTGGCAGGTTCCTAACTTGTTTCCTGTTTTCTTACTGATTAGCCTGCTCTTTGATCACCTACCCCTGAGGGGGGAGCAACCTTACCAGGCCACAGAAATGACAATGCAGACAGTCCCAATGAGATTTGATAAACTAAGATCAGAAGGAAGGAGAGGAGGATCTCCCTTATCAGTGGACTTGGGAAGGGGCATGCATGAAGAAGAGGGAAGGAAGGTGGGATTAGGAGGGGAGGAGGGAAGGGGTATGGGGGAATAGAAAGTGAATAAAGTGTAACTAATAAAAGTTAAAAAATAATGAAAAACACAAAATTTAAAAATCTAAACAAAATGGACAAATTTTGATAGATTCTATCTACCAAAATAAAGTCAAGATTAGATAAATAGATTGAATAGTCCAGTATACCCCATGTTAATAGAAACATTCATCAAGTCTCCCTTCAAAAAAAAAAAAAAAAAAAGCCCAGGGCCATATGGTTTGGCCGACAATTCTATGAGACTTTCAAAGAAGAGCAAACTCCAATTTTCTTCAAACTATTCCACAAAATAGAAACAGAAGGAACATTACCAAACTCTATGAAGCGAAAATCACCTTGATACCTAAGCCACTGAAATACCTTAAAAAGGAAACTTCAGCCTTATCTCTCTGAAGAAAAAAAAAAAAAAAAACCAAAAAACTCAATAAAATACTGGCAAACTGAATCCAAGAACACATCAAAGATATCATCTACAATGACCAAGTAGGCTTTATCCCAGTCATGCAGGGGTGGTTCAATATAGAAAAATCCATCAATGTGATCCACCATATAAACAAACTGAAAGAGAAAAACCACATATTCTCCTTACATGCTGAAAAAGTGTTTGACAAAATCCAACACCCATTCATGTTTAAAGTCTTGTAGAAATCAGGGATACAAGGCACATAACTAAACATAGTGAAGGCAATATACAGCAAGCTTATAGCCAAACTCAAACCAATCACACTGAAATCAGGGATAAGGCAAGGCTGTCCATTCTCTCCATATCTCTTCAACATAGTACTTGAAGTCCTAGCTAAAAAAATAAGACAACTAAAGGAGATCAAGGGAATACAAATCGCAAAGGAAGAGGTAAAATTTTCTCTATTCACAGATGATATGATAGTATACATGAGTTATCCCAAAAATTCAACCAGAGAACTCCCTTAGCTGATAAATACTTTCAGCAAAGTGGCTGGATACAAAATCAACTCAAAAAAAACCAAAGCCCTCCTGTATACCAAAAACAAAAGGGTCGAGAAAGAAATCAGGGAAACAACACGTTTCACAATAGCCACTAATAACATGAAGTACCTTGGGGTGACTCTAACCAAGCAGGTGAAAGACCTGTTTGACAAAAACTTCATGTCTCTGAAGAAATAAATTGAAGAAATTATCAGGAGATGGAAAGATCTCCCGTGCTCATGGATTGGTGGGATTAACATAGTGAAAATGGCCATCCTGCCAAAAGCAATCTATAGCATCAATACAATTCCCATCCAAATCCCAACACAATTCTTTACAGACCTTGAGAAAACAATTTTTAACTTCATATTGAAAAACAAACAAACCTAGAATTCCCAAAACAATCCTGTACAACAACAAATAATCTGGAGGTATCTCCAACCCTGATCTTATGCTGTACTACAGAGGAATGATAGTAAACACTACATGAATAATAAACACTACATGATAACACTAATAATGACACTATATGATAATAAACACTACATAGAAACAAAATGGTGCATCAGTGGAACTGAATAGAAGATCCAATATTAAATCCACACACCTAGGTTTACTTGATTTTTAACAAATAAGCCAAATCCATACAGTGGAAAAAAGCATCTTCTGCAAATGGTGCTGGTCTAACTGAATGTTTATATGTAGAAAAAAAAATGCAAATAGATCTATATTTATCACCCTGCACAAAGCTAAAGTCCAAGTGGATCAAAGACCTCAACATAAAACCAGACACACTAAATCGGTTAGAAGAAAAAGTGGGGAAGAGCCTAGAACTCATTGGCACAGGAGACAACTTACTGAACAGAACACCAACATCACAGGCTCTAGGAGCAACAGTGAATAAATGGGATCTCATGAAACTGAAATGTTTCTGTAAAGCAAAGGACACTGTCCTCAGAACAAAATGACAGCCTACAGATTTGGAAAAGATCTTCACCAACTCTATATAAGACAGATAGCTAATATCCAGAATATAAAAAGAACTCAAGAAGTTAAAAAACAACAAATCAAGTAATCTGATTATAACTGGGCTACAGAGCTAAACAGAGAATTCTCTGTAAAGGATATAAAATGGTAAAGAAATAATTATAGTAATGCTCAAAGTCCTTAGTCTTCAGGGAGATGCAAATCAAAAAGACCCTGAGATTTCACTTTACACCAGTCAGAATGGCTAAGATCAAAAACTCAAGTGACAACACATGTTGGAGAGGTTGTGGAGAAAGGGGAACCCTCCTCCATTGCTGGTGGGAATCTAAACTTCTAAAACCACTTTTGAAATCAATCTGGTGCTGTCTCAGACATTAAGGAATAGCGCTTCCTCAAGATCTATCTATACCACTCCTAGGCATATATCCAAAAGATGCTCAAGAACACAACAAGGGTATTTATTCAACAATATTTATAGCAGCTTTGTTTGTCATAGCCAGAAGCTGGAAAGAGCCCAGATGCTCCTCGGTTGAGGAATGGATACAGAAATTGTTGTACATTTACACAATGGAATACTATTTAACAATTAAAACAAAGAAATCATGAAATTTTTAGTCAAATGCTTGCATCTAAAAAAGATCATCCTGAGTGAGGTATCCCAGTAGCAGAATGAC